TGTGTGCTCCAGGTGTGCGCATGCTGGACGGCGAGGTGACCGACATGGTGGAGGCCCAGTCCCTCAGTCTGAACCCCCAGCACATCGACATCTACAGCGCCAGCTGGGGTCCAGAGGACGACGGCAAAACTGTCGATGGACCTGCCAAACTCGCCAAAGAAGCCTTCCTGCGTGGCGTTACGGAGGTGTGTGTATGAGTGTTTGTGTGAGTCGCAAATTATTTACTGCCTGTGTGTTGCTTCCTTTCAGCAGTCGGTAATTGAACTGTTCAAGCATGAGAGGACACAAGCGGGAAGAGCAAAGCTTTTTTTTTTGACCCCGACAATTATGAATGGAAAGGAATGTCCTCTGAAGGACACGAGGGAGGAAAATCCTGGAAAATGAATGGAAGCAGCACTGACAGAAATTAAACTTGTTTAAAAGATAGTCGTTGAAAGATAGTTGAAGGGCACTTTTCAAACTGCTAGCTCATTCTTTATCTTGCAGCTCTTTCAGTTTGTCAGCGTGTGCTTCCTTCAAGTGTGAATTAAGTGTTTGGAGGAGGAAAAAAAAAAATCAAGGTTGTTTTTAAAAGTCCCAATTAAACAGTTACTGGAGCTTTAAATTAGTCTACAAGCACTTCTCATCAGAAGCTTCCAAACACGTGCTTATCTATATGCATGTACACGCCGAGAGATTCTACGAGAGGGTAATTTTGAAAACTAGTCCGTCAGCATCTAACAACAAGACAATGTGAATATTAACCGAGGAGCGAGCGCGCTGTCATGTCATCGGTCCTGTCGTTGATAACGGCGCTTGTTTTAATGCATGTGGCGCGCTGGGGACTGTGTCAGATATTCGAAATGAACAAGTCAACAGATTAATGAGCACACAGATCACACCCCAAACTCTCACATCTGCTCTCCATGAATAAACACATCCATCCCGCTAACACTGACTCTTCGTTCGGCGAGCGGTAGGATTCCAGGCATGTGCCATAAAGCTGATTGGAACCGCTGACACTGACTACTAAGATAATTGCCACAGTGACAGCGCTGTCAGATGGTGGTGTGGGTGGTGCATAGCTAGAATTGATCAATGCCGAAAGAGAGAGAGAGAGAGAGAGGGAGAGAGATGGTGCCACTCAATACAATAAAGCGGCTCTTAGATGAAAATTATTGCACTTCAAAGGCTGAGAGGTTGGATGATTTATTACAATGAGCTGTTGTCATATAGAGCCTTTTTGTATTGCATTGCTGTCATGCGATATTTAGCTCTTTGTAATTTACCGAGTGACCACCCGGCCTCTGTGATGTATGCTGGCTTCTAATGGGCCCTTTTTGAAATGAGCCCTGAAATGAATTTGCCCTCCTATAATTGGGATTCCTATTGAAGACTGAATAAGATTTTGTTCTTTTTTTTTTTTTCTCTCTGGGCAGCGGTGGTCTGAGGCACAAATGAATGAAAGGAAACGTGCTCGCCTTTTCTTTTTTAAACATTTTTGAATTTTTTTTCTCCAGGGTCGCGGCGGTTTGGGCTCCATCTTCGTGTGGGCTTCCGGGAACGGCGGCCGGGAGAAGGACAGCTGCAACTGCGACGGCTACACCAACAGCATCTACACCCTGTCCATCAGCAGCTCCACGCAAAACGGCAACGTCCCGTGGTACAGCGAGGCGTGCTCCTCCACCCTCGCCACCACCTACAGCTCGGGCAACCTCAACGAGAAACAGATAGTGAGTTGTGGCCATCATATTTTTATTTTGTTCCTCTCCTCACATAAACTCTTGGCTGAGTTCCTGCCTTCATGTCTGTGGTGAACTCCAGAGACTATTTATTTCCAAAGTAAAATTTAGTTGACCCACAGTCTGTTTAAATGTAGCTCCGGACCAAAACGTATTAATCCATTCTGTAAATTAAAATTTTTTGTTTCTTCCTGTAGCAGCAAATTTAAATAAGCAAATTCCCAGAGCTCGATGTGACGCCTGACATGTCCAACGTGCTCCAGAAGAACAAGTTGATTAATTCACGCTTAAAACAGTTTTTATCTCGACGGACAAAGCGGTTAACTGAGTAATTGTTTCAGCGCCGTGCGTACAGTGCATTAAGCATTCGTAGCGTTTTTGACCAGCGGTTTTTTATTAAACCTGCTTGTCAGAATCACAGCGAGGCTCCTCCGTTCGTCGCTCCTTTTCTCCTCCTTCTTCTTTTTCCGCTCATTCAGTCTCGGCCCATTAAAATGATTATGAATAGTGAACGGCTGAAACTCCAGCTGGCAATCTGTTGCTGCTTAACATTCTTGTCACAAACACTAAATCTCTCTCAGTCATGCACACACACACACACGTTCGCGGCGCGCACATTTTCTTTGTCTAGCAGCCAGACCAACTGGACGGACAGCTTATGACATCTCCGTGACATGTGGCTGGTCCCTTAATGCTTCAGTGATGTACTCATTTAATTGTGCTGTCACTCAACGGACCCCTTGAATGAAGACCCGGAGCAGAGGAAGGTGGACGGGACCTGGTGGGGTGATGATTCTGAATAGTCCCCACAGGTCCCCACGTGTGATTTTTTTTTTTTTTTTTCTGGTTAAATCGCACATATATTATCCCTCTCTTTCAATTTGAAGTAAGAGGGATATGCTCCTGAACCTCCTGAATGTATAATAACCATTAAAGTCACTCTTCCGGAGCATTTATTATTCTGTCTGGCAGTTAAAAGATCCATTTCTGTATGCGCATTCAGCAGGTTTGTGATCGTAACTACTCCTGTATCAGTCCTACTCGGTAACATAGGCTGACCTCTCCTTTAGGATTATACAGTGGGTGACTGGGGGGCTTTTCACAGGGCAGTGTTTTGTAACCTTTATCCTTCAAGAGATGGGTTTCTGCTGAGGACAAATACTCCGGTTCTGCACCAGCTTGCTTTGTATTCATGCGGCTGCAGAAATTCACACCTGGGAGCTGCCCAGTACAACCACAGGCCTCCGCCGTGGGTCGCCCGGGAGATCTCTGCTGCAGCAGTTCATCTATAAAGAGACTCACTCAAGAGAAGGAAGGCATAAGTTAGACGATTTCCCCGGTTTGATTTTCCAGCTGATGACTTTCGCCTCTCGAGTTTCCGCTTTTCGTACCCATTAGCCGGGTTTCCGCCTCCCACAAATACATACGGGATTAAAAAAAAAAATGAAGAAGTGATGGAGAATAAATGTTCCTGGCTTGATAGAGGAGAATCCAAAGTTATTTAAAATGAAGCACAGTTCTCAGTATAGTTGAGGATTTCTGTGTGAGGACAGGAAGGTAAGAAGCTGAATTAGTAGAGGATTAGGTGTGTTTTTGTTTCTCACAACATCCAGTGAAATACCTCTGCTTGTGTGTCTTCTTGCCTTGAGAATAATGGAAGAATGATATATTAAAGCGAGAGTGTTTTTTTTTTCTGCTGGAGATAAGCCTACTGTGTTCATCTTTCTAGGTGACTACAGACCTCAAATCAAAATGCACAGACTCCCACACAGGCACCTCTGCTTCCGCCCCGCTGGCTGCTGGGATCATCGCTCTTGCCCTTGAGGCTAAGTAAGTGCTTATCACTATTTTTCTGAGTCTGACTAAGCTTTGCAATTCTATTCAACTGTACATCCTCACTCCCAACGTTCTCTCTCGCTGCTTATTTCCCCGTACTCTTCTTGATTGCTTTTATTGATTCTCTGGAGAAAGTTTGATTATTTTCACAACCTACAGGTACACTAAAAAAATTCAGAATGCCCCAGTAATTTGAATTATTGCCCCACCGGCATCAGTTATCACGTCCTAGCTTCTTGTGGCTTAAACAGCAAATCCTTTTCAAAAAGTATATTTTAAAATAGTAAAATATGATATTTTTTAGTTCCACAGACTTTTCAAAACCCAATTTGAAAATGTAACAGTCTTGTGCTAAATCAAGCTGTAACTGGTGGCGCTGTGTTTGTGCATTAATTCTGCTTGATTATGCCGTTTTATGTGTGACTCTTTAACCCCTCTGCCACAGATTTTCAACTGTGCATTTGCAAACAGCCCGGTTTGGATGTGAGTGGTTAATCATTCACATCTAGTCACACAGCACTAATGGGGGGACAAACGCGAATGTTATGTCCTGAAAAATGAGTAATTAGTCTTGAGAGAAAACAGAGTGAGGCGACGGCAACAGCCTGCAATTAAAAGAAGAGTTTTGGAAGAAACCGATTGAGCAGGGATACTAAGAAAAATGCCTTATTTCCTCAATCCACAATAAGATTTATGAATTCAAAGCCTGTGCGTACTTAATCACAGCAGAGAAGCAAACCAATCTGTGACCTCGCGTAACCCCTTTTTATGCCTGGTCTGCTCCAGCGCCGACGGCTGCAGGAAGAATTATAACAACACCACTTTGTCGGGTTTTCTCTTTGCAGGACATTTTGCCAAAGGGCAGGAATTGAGTTCAAATACATGTTGACTGAAGATTTAATGTAATTCAAGGAAGAATGTGACTGGTGCTCCGTTGTGTTTGTATTTAATCAGCTGTCCACCTGCAGGTTAAGGCTGAAGGATGCATTGTCGGAGGCGTCTCTTTGATCTGTTTCAACTTGATCTTTACGCTGAAGTCTTACCATGTGTGTCACGCTGTGTGTTGTCTCTTTCTCTCCTTCTTTACGTGACTGTGTCTGCTTGCGTATATTCCAGTAAAAACCTGACCTGGAGGGATATGCAACATCTGGTTGTACGAACGTCTCGCCCCGCCCACCTGCTCACCAATGACTGGAGGACCAATGGCGTTGGTCGCAAAGGTACAGCGACCACCTTCAAGTTATCTTCTGCCCTCTGCAGTTCACGGAGGCCTTTTATGCTCGTTGTTATCTACATAGTTCTAGAACAATCTATCAGTAAATGACATATTTATTGTAAAGAAATTGATCATGTGTATGGTACAATTATATACCGTATATCCGTGCAGTTAATTAATTATATATTGATTTTTGTAGGGATGCACGATATATCTGCGACCACATCGGTATCGGCTGATGTTAGTGTTTTTCCCGATATATATCGCTATCGGTCCAATTAACAAATTTAGTTGATGATTGTCTAACATTAGCGTCTTTGTCTCTACATTTGATATTGCTGCTATTTCACACATGTTTTTACTTAAATGGTCCTAAACATTAAATATGTTAAAATATGTTTTACTTTTGTTACGTCATAAAGACGACTATGTGGTCTAATTGGCCTTCTTCTGAATAGTTTTCATGTTCTCACTGTGCTTGCTGATACAGATTTTTTCGGCGTGGAAAAAAATTGAATATCGACATCGATAATATCGGTTATTGGCGATATCAGAAATCTTCATATGGGATATCGGTATCGGCCGATATTAGTGTTCTGTTTTTTTTTCTCGATACATCGCTATCGGTACGATGAACAAATTTAGCCGATGTGAGAAACCAGTGATTGTCTAATATTAGCGCCTGCGTTACTGCTGCAATTTCACAGATGTTTTTACTTAAATGATTCTGGACTTAAATATGTTAAAATATGTTTTACTTTTGTTACGTAGTAAAGAAGACTATGTGGTCTAATATGGGCTTCTTTTGAACAGTTTTCACGTTCTCACAGTGTGCACTTATACAAATTTTTTTCAGTGTGAACAAAAATTGAATATCGACATCGGCGATATCAGAAATTCATATCGGATGTTGGTATCGGCCAGAAATTTTAATATCATGCATCACTAGTATTTTATATTAAATCTATTTATTAGATACAGATCGCATAGGTGAGAAAAAAAACAGATTTGGGTCACTTCAGCTGCTGTCTGAACGTATTTACCTTTGATGTCAACTGACAGCCCGTACACAAGCGCACTGATCAATTAGGCTGAAATCCAGCGATGCGTAGTGTTCTAACAGTACACGAGTTATTATAACAAATGTTAACAATAAATATTAGCAACAAATGAGCCTTCCAGCATCAAGCCCTCCTTGTATCTGGACCTCCGTCTTGACAATCCAACATAAAAGAACATTTAGTGTCGGATTATCGAGTCACGACTGTATTTTTTAATTGATTTAAAAGCAGAAACATGTAATATTGTAATGAATCATAGGGTGATAAGAGGTTGGGAATTTGTAAGTTTATACTTCTTCCTGCTCTTTTTCGAGCTCATGTTTGTACATTTGTTCCCTGGTTTTTATTGTGTTTTAACTTTATTTTAAATATTTCATTCATTCATTCATTATCTTATGCATCCTACAAATCAAACCACCACCAGGCAAAGGCCGAGTGAGACGCACAGTGTGGTTTATTTCTGAAGGTGGATGCTGCTCTCAGAAGGCTAACATTCATGTTTCCTCCTTTTCTCTCTCTTGGTTTCTGCAGTCAGCCATTCGTATGGATATGGTCTACTTGACGCCACCGCTATTGTCTCTCTGGCAAAGACGTGGACCAGCGTAGGGACGCAGAGAAAATGTGTAATCACCATGGTCAGCGAGCCAAGGTTAGTACTCTGCACGCTCACACCAGTTCGCTGCATTTATCTCAACACCATGATTACAAGTGTCCGCACATATTACAGCCGTCACTTAAAGAAATATCTGCTTCAAGCTAATTAGAACTAGCAAGTCATTTGTCTGAATTACTTTAAATACAACCCACGTAGCTTAATCCTGAACTCAGTCACCTGTGACTCTGGAGGACGGCGCTGTGGTGGATTATAGGCGGTTCCGCTGTTCTGGAAGCTTGACCGTTGATTGCATGTGAAGATGCACAAACTGTTTACCGGCATCTCACTCTTGACAGCGCCTGTGAGTGGAGGTTATGTGGTCCATAACAATGCCTCTGTGGCGTGGATTGTCCTGTGATTGTACTGACTAGTCTGTCAAAACACTGAGTTATATAAAAATCCTCCCTCTGTGCAGTTGTCATGGAAGGAGAAATTAACTATACAAACCAAACGTATTCTTTGCACCAGGCTCTAAACGTGTTTGTTTCTGGGCATTTCAACATGGAGGTTTATGATGATTGACCATAGACTGTATAAAAGATGGACGTAGCAACCGGCCCTGAAAAATGAAGCCAAAAACCTGCAATATCACTACGTCCGCTCGCTGCTGGCTCCAAAAAGTCCTGGCTCCCATAGACTTGAATTGGAAAAGAAGTGATCACAGATCATGAAATACTGCATTCCTACAGCTCAGGATTTTTTTCTCATTAGTTTTCATGGTCAAATCCAATCTGAAAATAAATCAACGCTGAATTTTTTTAAAAAATCGTCCACATTTTGCGGGGCAAGGGGCGTGGCTGGCTTGATTGACAGTCGGCAGCGACGATGCAGACGAAACCAGCAGAAGGCGGTAAATGTGGGCGGGCAGAGAGGGCCCGCCTCTCAATCTGTCTGACCAATCGCTGCTCCTATGGCTCCGCCCCCCTCCGACGATTTTTGCTCCAAAAATCCAAGATGTCAACCAGGAAGTAGCAAAACCCTGGCTTCATTTTCTCAGTGCAGAAACCAACATCACGGCAGCTACGTCCGTCTTTTATACAGTCTATGTGATTGACTCGTTTCTAAGAGTCAGCCTCAAGTGGCCATTCGATGAACTGCAATTTTAGACATTTCCGCGTTCGGTTCATCTTCCAGCCGTGGAGGTTTGAACTAAACCCACACTTTGGGCTAAAAGTCAGGCTGTCTTGGCAAGAAAACATGCCTCGCTCACATTACAAAAAATCTGCTATAAACCACTTAACTTTAACCTAAAACAGGTAAAATGCTAAGAGCACATGATGAAACAGACGACGTGAAAGTCAGCAACAGTCAGCAACACACTGACGAGAAGCGGCGCATCAAATAACCCACAAAGGCAGCGTTTCTGTTTGTTGCTGCATTGTTGTTTGACATAAACTCACGCTGTAATTAAGTAACATGATGAGACGCTGCACAGCGAGTGAAAAGAGACGCTGACATTAAACCGGTCCATAACAACACGTAGGTGTGTGCGACGCTCGTGTGTGACTGAGCTGTCATGCTTTGCTGCAGGAACACATTATGTCTTCATCTTCAGCTTTGGCTCTGGGCTCCTGTTGAAACGCCTGCAGTGCATGCATGCATATATGTGTGTGTGCACTCCGATGCAGGCTCTGATTGAGACGAAGCATTTTAAACAGAAGTAATAATTCGTCAATGCGCTGCTTCCTTTGGTTGTTAAGACTCACTATTCCTCCTCAGCCATTTTTACTCCTTCTTTTCGTGGTGTCACAGTCTAAACTCGGTCTGACATCTCTTCTTCATTATGCGCTCCCTGTCACTTCTCTCGCCGGGTTTGAAGTTTCTCTCTCTTTTACTGCAGTTATCAGATGCTCAGAGCAGATGGTTCGAGCGTCTGGGAACAGCAGTCGAGGCAGGTTATTCAATTTACATTTTGGGTGTTTAGCCGACTTACTTATCAAGAGCGACTCGCGGTAAGTGAGCAGATAGCGGCTTCGGCGTCTTTCTCACTGTCACTTGCTTCCATTATTTTTTACGCAGTATTTTTCTGCAGAGATCCTATTATTCTTACATTAGCTGCACCATCACAGCGTTTTAACACACGATTACGGTGACATTCGGCCTTTTACTTGTGCATCAGTGAAGTGATGAATAAAGCTCTGAGTGATAGCAAAAGGCTTGTTTATGAGTTGTGAAGTGACAACAGTCTGTGATTTGATTTTTTTTTTCACTATTGGGACTATACCTTGTGTTTATATTTAGAAAATGGATCGCGCCTCAAAACAGGAAACTCTCAGCAGTCTGACAGAAAGAATGAATGCAGGCTTTGTTTCAAAGATTTCCCGTCGACTGTACGGACACTGGAGATGATTGGCGTGTACTTTATTCTTAAAGAGGATTTACCCAACTTTTATGCAAATTACCACCAGGGATACAAAATGTTGTATCAATGAAAAGTGGATTATGGCATGAGATGGAAGCTCTCGCTCTCTATCTTTTCAAAAAGTGATTTATGATTTTACAAAAACCCTCTTATTTCTGTAAGACACTGTGCCAAATGCATGGAAACGCTTAAGATCTGGCTCGCTCCCCAAGTGTTTTGTTTATTTATTTATTTTCTTGTTCGTTCTGAGAAGCTTTACTGAATCACAATACAACACCCGTGTTTTGAATCTCCAATATGTAATAAGCATGTGATTGGCACAATTTTCCAGCCTTATTATGCAGCATATGTCAAACATCAAAAGCAAGCCGTGTGAAATGTGAATAGAATTACCTCCTATGAACCGACGTATCGACAGATTAAAACACCTGTTGTGAGGACAGATGTGAAAAGAAAAAAAAATGTTTTCCCCAGAATTCTATGAAACCGCTTTAGTTGAAAATGTGCATCACACTGTGTGAGTAAAATAAAATGTTTATGGAGCGACTATAAAACTGTGTCTCTGAAAAGCCGCTGCAGCGGGGGTTCGTGATGCTGAAAGTTTTTTCTTTTATTTTCACTTCTTGATGAGAACGCTATGAAATGACTTGAGATTTTCTCGTTGATTATCCGCAGCGACGGCGCGGCAGATTGCTGGTTATAGGTTTGCAGCATATCGCTCCGTCTCTGTGTGCTTGTAAAAACAGATGCCATGTTTGCGACGGTGCCACGAACGTCGCTTCTTCCAGACTTTAAATCACAGACGCCCGCGCCTCAGTGGTCAACTGGCAACGATAAATCTTTTTTTTTTTCCTTCTCTCACATTTTCTGACTCCGCTCAAAAGCACGACAGTTTTTTTTTTTTTTGCAAACGAGAAACGTGCTGAACTGCTACTTGGCCGATCATTGTGTGGCTCTCTGGCATCTGGAAAGTGCTGTAAATTGACCTTTTAGATGATTTCTCCCATGTGAGGCTGCTCCAAAAGGTCAAAGCCGTTCGCTGTAAGTAGCCCTTTAGTGGATGCTGAGACGTGTGGAGAGACGGCGTCTTCAAGCAGCCCGACAGCTTAATGATCGCGTCACGTCTCGTCTATAATTTCGGCCACTGTTTCACTAAAACCTCGTGCCTTCCTCCTGAGAATTGTTGTGGATGCGTGTAATCTCCTAAGCGGATTTGGGGGGAGGAGGAGGGGGAGAGTTAAAAGAGGTGGGTGCTTTCCTTGCACAGAGGACAGCGGTCCTACAGGTTGCGAGACACTAATCCTGTTCAAGGCCACAAAGTCTTCACCCTTTGCAGCTTTCACAGTGGGCACGAGCAAAGTGTCGCACTCACAGTTTTGGGGATTGTAGCTTATCCAGCTCTGAGGAATAAGCCGGCGATGATTCCGGCTTCACACAAACATATGAATATTTTCCCCCTTTCTTGATGTTTTTCCCTTTCTCTTTGTTTGACAGGAACATCGGCAGCCATTTGTCTATTAACAAGAGCGTGGACGCCTGCATCGGGTCAGACAGTCACGTGACCTCGTTAGAGCACGTCCAAGCCCGGCTCACTCTGTCCTACAACCGGAGGGGAAACCTGGCCATCCACCTCATTAGTCCTGCCGGTACACGCTCCACTCTGCTCCACCCCAGGTACACAAAAACAAAAACTACACGAGCACAGATACAGTACAAGTTGGTAAACATGAAATATTTTACACTCCAGCTTGTTGGCTTTTCCTGCAGGCCTCATGATTACTCATCGGAGGGTTTTAATGACTGGGCTTTCATGAGCACCCACTCCTGGGACGAGAACCCCAGCGGGGCGTGGACGCTGGAGATTGAGAACGTGGCCGGTGCCAGCGACTACGGTAAAGCAGCTTTGTTCTTTGATAGATGGGATGAAGACATTTCTGCCATAAGTTTTTGTAGCTAGAATTCAGAGCTTTCCAAGTTATCCCGACCTGATGTCAAAGTACAATCCTTACTTTTTTGATTAAGATTTAAAGACTTTCTAATCACAGGTCCTCTGAGTTCAAGGGAATTTGTTCATATTTCCATCTGACCTGCAGTCTTGGACCTATAAAATATTCAATGTGAACCAAAGAAGAGGACAACTGTCATGGGTCTTTAGCGCCAGGTCACCAGGACGGCTTTAAATGGCTTGGATACGTGCATGTTATTTAACTTGTTTTAATCTGTTGAGTCTACAGTTCAGCTCAGCGGTTAAAGGTTTAGCACCGGGAGATTAGAGATCAAGAGGTTCCTGAATCCAAAGTGTCTGCTCTTTTTATAGGAGGCGACTCTGTAGAGGTCCGCCGCCATCAGTGTAGGAAGAATGGCAAAGCAGTCTTTATGTTTTCCCTCGCATCATCCAAACCTGGACGCAGCAGGTCCACCCCCAGCGTGATGTTCAGCCAAAAAAAATCTCCAGAACTACAGATTTAGATCAATGTCTCACACCGCCCCACTCAGTAACGAGTGATTTACTAAAGTAGAGCCTCTCTCAAGGCCCCACACTCCAATGATTCTTGAGAGAGGAGCACTTTATAACTCTTGTTAGGCACAGAGGGAAATTATTCTGTCTTTAAATTTGCAGCTCGTGTCAAGGAATCATTTTTCGTCACCTTATGCAGAAAATCCAAAAGTCAGAGGATACATTCACAAAGTCCACCCTCGGCGATGCGGGAGCCTCCCTGTTTCTGACGGGCCTGCTTCTCTCCCCGGTTAATCTGAGTTTTTATCTCCACCTCTCCGCTCAGGCACTCTAACCCAGTTCGTCCTGGTGCTGTACGGTACCGGCTCAGCATCTTCCAGCTCCTCTGAGAAGTCTCAGCCTCTCAACGGCAACTGCAAGACCTTGGATCTGAGGCAGATATGCATCGGTAAGACCAGTGTTTCCCGTCTGCTCCTCGCTAGAACTTCCAGCTGCTGAGGGGAGGGGAATGGAAAGCCATGTTGAGCTGTAACATGTGAAGCAGTCTGGTTAGCGTGAATGGGATGATTTATTGTCCCGTGTGTGCTCAGCTGCATCTGTTTGCGTTCTACTTGTACATCAGTTTTGCAGCGTCACACAATTATCCCATTGAAAGGACCGAGCGAGCTTCATGCCATTGTGTCCGACCAAATCCAAATAGTGCTGAAGGCAAGGTCTAAAGACACGACTGAGCTCCAGCAAAGTGTGAAGTCCACCTACATGTGGTCTGAAACAGTGACAGTCTGACCCCTACAGGCTGTCAGAGGCACCTACATGCTGACACACAAAGGGGAGCTGAGCATCATGTATGCACATAATCATCATGTTGTGAGAGTCTTGTCATGTCGTACACAACGCTCCCTCACTTGGGGCACACAGCTATAGTTCTCTGTGTTTTTGAACAAGTTGACAAGATGCAGCAGTAAATTGGATTTTCCTCCTTCTGTTGGCTCTCCTGTGTTCGGCTCTGTTACCCCCGGTACCCACAGTCTGCTAATTGTCATTATAGGCAATGGTCTGCATCTGGATGTGCTGCATATGGAAATGTGTCTGTTGATTTAAAAATGCTGCATTCAGCATATAAATAGCAACGCTCTTTGTCATCAGTTTTTAGCCAGAAAAAAATGGCGACTAGAAGTAAAATTGCATTTAGTTTCACTTTTCCTGCAGTAGAACAGCCCGTACATGAATCAGTGCAGAACCGTTGGACCCGACCTGACAGCCATGTTAACTGCGATGCTCTGACTGTCAGGGCAGGAATCCTGGTTCTGTTTTTTTGGCTTGTCTGACTCATACGAGGAGGTGAAAGGGGGGCGCGGCTGCTTATTGCTGTTTCTGTGTTGCAGAGTGCAACGGCGGCTACTACCTCTTCCAGCAGAGCTGTGTGAAACAGTGTCCACCAGGCTTCTCAGTGGGCTCCCAGCCTGTCAACTACACAGTGGGAAACTCCATACCACCAGCGTCCGTCCCCGCCTGCCTGCCCTGCCTGCCGCCCTGCCTGACCTGCAGCAGCCTCAGCCCTCAGGCCTGCCTGTCCTGCCCTCCTCACAGCTCCCTGGACCCCATTTCTGGAACCTGCCTGCACCTCAACCAGTTCATGCGCGAGACCACCGGCAGCTTCATGGTGAGCCAGGGCAGCACGAGAGCACAGCTTCAGCTCAGCTCCAAGCTGCCCATCACCATCGCCGTGCTCAGCTGCATCGCCATCATCGCCACCTTCGCCGGCATCTTCCTGCTGCTGCAGCTGCGCTCAGGCGCGCTCATCAAGCTGCCCTCCCTGGAGGCCGGCGGTGGCCTCGGGGGCAGCTTCAGCCTCGGGGGGAATAGGGTGGTGTCGTACCGCGGCATCCCGACAGTCTGGGGGGATGACGGGGTGAACACAGACTCCGAAAATGAAGAGTTTGACGTCCAGAATGAGAGGACTGCCTTTATCAAAACACAAAGTGCTCTTTAATGCCTCCCCCACGTCCCTCTTTTCTCTTCTGCTTTTAAAATCTTCTCACCCTCATTTGTCTGATAATTCAGGGCTGTGGTAACTGTCTGTTCACAGTCTTTGCTGGTTTTTATCTTCTCATTCATTTTTTTTTTTTTTCTTTTCCTTTCTCCGTCTTATCGGATTCTCATCTGAGCCCCGTTCTGGGATCTGGTCTTCCACTCTGCTGTGGGAGACCTGATGGGAAGCTGCTGTCTCTCAAAGCTCTGGATGGCCTGAGCTTTGCTCTATTCACACTTGGGCGCATTTCTATTAAACTGGCTCTCTCCCTCCTCTTGCCCTCAATCACGAACAGTGTCTGTCTGTGCAGAGTCCATTTTCCCCTCCAGCTCCAGCTCCTTTTTGTTACAGTAAACAAATGATTATTATTTGCTTTCTTCCTCTTTTTTTTCTCCTCCTCTTTCCATTAGTCTCAGTGCAGTAGCCAGACGAGATTGTTGAATGCGAGTAGTGGAGAAGTGTGTGTGTGTGTGTGTGAATGAATCGTGTGTGTGTGAATGTGAGCGTGTAAATCTGATGAACAGTGTAGTGCCCTTTATGGAGAGGCTTAAGCGGGTTCTGTCATATTTAGTATTTTAACTAAACAGCGATAACACAAAAAGAAAAAAAAACTGTATTATGAGGCATGAAATCCAATTTGGAAACATTTTTTTTTTCTCTCCAGAGTGACACCGACGTCTACAGTCTGTTCAGAGTAGCACCACTTCGCTTCACATTTTTTTAAAAACACGACGGTTTGATGAAGAAACGTGCTGACTCGGCTCGTTTAGAATCGCACGCCACCAATCAGAGAAACAAAACCCACCGAGAGCTTCCCGATCGGGCCCGTCTCTGACGTCTTCTCTTTTTACGACCAGACAAAAGCGCTATTTGCTTTAAGAACAATCTGTCTTTCATGCAGTCAGCTTTTCAAAAAAACCAGCACAGTTTTTGTTCCCTTTGTGCACACGATCTGTAATGACCTCCTCCATCTCTGCAAGAGCAAACCGTGACTCACTAAAAGCTGCCTCCAGCCTTTTGGGATTCCAGATGAACTGAACTTATTCTGGTTTTTTAAAAATCTGGACCAGCGCATGCAATTGAGAAATAATAAGAAAACAGGCCACTTGATCGGCCCCGAGGCACCGTCCCTCCCAGACACAGTTAATTCCTGCATCCCGGTGTGCTCCCAGATGCTGATGAGGCCCAGGACATCGTGTGAGCAACGGTAGTTTTTCATAGCGGCTGGCAGGTGTTGAGTTACCTGTGATTGATTTCTTGACGGAGCAGACGCGGTAACAATACATCAAGGCTTTCCTTTTGTTAGAGCACATCAACACTACAAACACACTCGTCTCTTAATGATTGAAAGTTAGCTCGCATGTGTGTGTGTGTGTGTGAGTGTGTGTGTGTGTGTGTCTCGCATGTGAGGATGAGAAATGTTTATCTGCCCTCTGAAGTGAAGCTTTTTTTTCTGTTTCCTCCTTCGTCTCGCAGCTTCTGCTCTGCCCTCCTCTTCAGATCTCCAATATTGTTTTAAAAGCCGCTCATCGAGACTCCCCATCTCCTCTCTGCACTTCCCCTCCAGTCCTCGTCTAATCTGAATTTCAGATTATGTCTTCGGCGTACTCGCCAATTAATTATATTCCGAATGATTCCGCAGCAAACTTATTTATTCGGAGAGATTTTAATCACACCTTTAGGGAAGATTGTTTTAAAGTGATTTTTCCTCCCAGGCTGGTTATCATCTGAACTACGCATCTCATTATTTAATCCAGTGTAGCCATTTTTTTTTTTTTTTGATTCCAACTGATCGCTTTTTTTTTTTTTGTCGAAATTATTATTATTTTTAATTTCCACTACAAAAACAAGTGGAGCTCGCTGAGAGAGGTTGTCATGGTGATGACGTGCACAGAAAGCTGCAGCTGCTCACCCTTTTATCTACCTCTCATATCATTCAGCGAGGTTTCGTACGCTGTTAGAGGAGCTGATAAATGATTACGGAGGTCAAATCAGACGCAGGGGGGGAAAAGATTTTTTGGGGAAAAATAAGCGATTCAGAAACTGTAAAGCTGCTGCGCAAATTCTGCTCCTATCTCGCCTAAAAAGTGTATTATTGCCTTTAGGATCAGCATTCATGTGCGCTCACACCTGGGCTTTAAAACCTGTTACAGAAATAGACCGGCTAGAACAATAGTCCAATAGATCTTGCTGGTCAGCGTTTAAGTGCCAACCCAATCTAAAATTGTTGGGGGCGTTTTATTTTTCCATCTCTACCCGTGCAGCTCCTCCAGGAGTTTTTCTTTCTTTTTCTCTTTTTCTTTTTTTTGTTCTTAAGTTCTGACAATCAAATGATTTCCTTCTTTTGAGGGCAACAAGGTGCAGAAGCACACAAACAAAATGTATTTTAATTTTTAATTTAACCGCTCGTGTTAGAAAAAACCTTCTCTAAAGTTGTTTTTCATAAATATGCAGAATGTCATTTAAATTGCAAAAAGCTCGTTCTAAAAGTCAAACGTTTATTCTTTAAGAAAAAACAAAATTTAACTCGGTAAAGCTACAAAGAATAATGATTCTCAATCCCAATACTTGCCAAAAAAAACAAAAATCCTCTTCAGAAGGATGGAGGAAGATTGGCGTGTGTGCTCTGAAACGCAGCGCCGAGCCAGGAAGCTTAATTCATCTCAGATGGCTGGTGCAGGTGTAGCACATTTGGCTCGCCGCGGCGGTTCCTGCATTGGAAGCCAATCCGAGGAATGTGGATTTGGAGAAAAATGCCCTCAGAAATGAACAAAGCTAATGTGGCGAGTGTGTGCTGCAGGGGTTTTGTGTGATGTACATTAGTGCCTACTGCCATTTAGGCTCTGATTAGTCCCAGTTTAAGGAGGGTGCTAATTTGAAAATGTAATAACTTCAGCCTCAGACTTGAGCCACAAAATCTTATTGACTTCCCAGCTTGGTGAGAAGTGTGTAAACAACAGATAATGGGCTAATGCAGCAACAAAATTGCTTCCATAAACTATTTTCTTCGACTCTGGATGCTTACGAGTTTGCTTCTTTTGAAGAAACCATAATGTGGGACTTTGACCAATTTGTTGCAATTACTGCGGCCTAATTGATTCTCAGCCTCGCCGACATTGTGCACCGAGCGTTTTCCCCCTCGCACAAGATTCATACGGCTTCCCGGAAGAATAGTTTCGGGGTGTTGAGACGAGTTTCTTGCGGCCCCCACGAGTGCACACACAGAATGATTTATTCATCGTAGCTTGATGTTGTATTCACTACAGCCAGAAAACTCTCAGCTGATGAACCCGCAGCTCTGCGCATTCGAGTGTTTAAGGAAATCACGAATGCAGGCAGCATTAAGTAGCCGGCGCTTCCAAAGCACAGGAGCTGCGGAAAACCATTAGCAGCCAGCTCATTCCTTCCACTGCGCGAATGTGATAGAAACTACACACTAAAAACAAGAAGAAGTTCTCTAATCGTGCCGGCTCGTAATTAAAAGGCTACCACTGGCAGTAACGCGAGGAGCCCTTTATACGGAAAAGACTCGCTCGTGCGGCCACGACGGAGACTTGTCTTTATGTGGCCGATTCGTCTCACGTGGAGCTCAGTGTTGCTCCAGTCCTGCTTTGAGGATGTAAGTCTGAAGTGACGGATATGAAGTCGGATGGAGTTAATAGGAGCAATATCTTTGGCATAACCAAAGACAATCATTTTAAATGCTGTCTGTTTCGTATTACGACGTGTTGCTTTCAGGTTCGTCGCGGCCCATCCAACCCCTCGCTCGTCTTCAAAGTGTTTCGTCGAAAACCCCGTTTTTGCCGTCATCTCTGCCTTTTCCGAAGATCCGCGGCGACACCCTTGTATGTTTAGCAGCTGTGGAGGGAAGGAGGTAGAATGTATCCCATCGCCATTAACTTAAGGGCTGAATCCGATCTGCGCGCGTCCGTGTGTGCACATGCTTGTTAAGTAGAAATGAAACACTTTTGCGATGGAGGGGCGGTAAGCGGAGCAGCCTCGGTCGACTCTTGTCGGCTTTCCTGCCGCCTCGTCGCGAGGTTCCTGACCTGTGGCTGCTCACAGTACCTTACAGATTTGTGACCTATGATTAATGTACAAGAATGACTATCTTACATGGGACATAACTCTAAAATAAGGCCTATTTTTGTACTATATGAATGGTGCAGTGTAATTTTCTTGTAATTTAAAGATTTTTTTTTTTTTTTTTGCTCTTGTTTTCTCCTTTTTATTTAATTGATGTCAATTATAGATTCTACTAAAAAAAAATAAAGATCTATGCAAATTTGAATGTGTTTTTATTCACTTGGATGCTTCTTGATGCGAGTGTCGGTGGATGCAGGACAACTTAAGTCGT